GTATATAAAGTACGGTTTCGCCCGAATTTATACTTCTTTACTTGTTAATGTCGGTTTTATTAGATTTTCTTTTTAGCTGTCAACTTTTCATGTTCAATGATATTTTTTGTTGTATCCAAAATGCATTAAATAACCACACCTTAAAAGAAAAAATAATAAAAAAATAGTAGGAAAAATAACAACAACAGGGAAATACCTTGCATTAAGTTGAACAATAAAGTAAATTTAAGCTGGTATTCCGCCGTTAATAATTACTCACTTAAAACATGACACCGAAATAGCAGCTAATAAATGAGCAGCGTTTTATTAAAGAGTACTGTAGTGGGAGGGGAGTGGGAAAATATTTTGACTTCCATTCACCTGGTAGTGGCCAGAAGTGATTCTTGTGCATACGGTTCGAATCGTAGCTAACTACGTCCGGATATTTACATCCACGTATCCTATGGGTAGCGACGAAACTCCCGTTTGTGAGCGACCTAAAATGAGAAGGCGTTAAAATTCGCGTGCGATGAGTTTGGGTCTCGCCACGTTAAAACCCCGCCCAATGAAAAATACAAACATGCCTGGGATGAGACCCCCTCTTTTGATGACGACCATGGCAAACGCATAAAGGACTATGATTTGAATATCCGAACCCTTAATGAGGAAGGTGCCTCGGCCCGGCTGGTTGATCCTCGTAATGACAAGAGCTGACATCACCATCATCGCCATCCAATAAACGTGATGGACGGGATAAGGCAAGGTAAAGGAGCGCAAATTCGGTGTTAGATTTGTGGTGGGAGATTCTTCAACATCTCGCTCATCTCCGCCCATTCCGAGGGCCAAACATCGACTCTGAGCACTCTCTTGTTGCAGCCAAGATACGCACCCGCCTATGTGCAGCAAAAAATGTGCGCCCAACAACGCAAGGAAACCTTAACGTCGAAAAGCTGCAATGACTACAGACCGCAAATTCATTCGCCCCTTGATCCTTACAGCTGCTTTCTGCGAGCACTCTTTAATAAACCGACATACGTGAGCAGTGGAACCACAGTTCCCGCTAAACAAGTATAGCCGCCGAAGAAGTAGTCGCATTTCTGCGAGCCAGAAAGAACCACGAAGCCGCATTTGCCGCATTAAGAAGAGAGAGGCCGAAATACGTGAATGCGAAGCGCTTGTGATCCTTGCCGACAAGAAATACGCCCGAAAATTTTATCACAGAGTTAGGTGACTTATGGAATTTGGTATCCTTGCGGAACTAATACGGCTGACCAAAATTACGTTGACCAATATCACCAGCTCCGTCAGAATTGGTAAAGATTTTTCCGAGCCGTTTGATGCCAAACGAAGTTTCAGACAATGTGTGTGAATCGCTCTGGCACAACACTTTACAAGAGCGGCGTATGCCGATGACCTCGACATTCTCGATAAGAAAAAGGGCTATGTCTGTTCTGCCTTCCCGGGATTAGATAGAGAAGCAACGCGAATGGTGAACGAGCCCAAAACGAAGTATTTGCTGGACTGGACTGAGTAGGCAATTAAGAAGTAAAGTCCTCTTTCGTC